TGCTGGGATATGGTCATAATCGGTATTTATGTTCTCCCTTCCTGAGAAGTTTTTGGTTTCGAGCACTGCCATTCTTACAGGCAGCCTCCCAGGGCCTGTGGGAGGTGGAATCTGGTTTCCTTCTTGCTGCGTTACTGGGTTATACAATCCCTTCCCTCACCTCCCTACGAGTCCTTCATAATCTGTATTCTCACGTGGTTCCATTATTTGGGTTTAAGGCAGGAAATAGAACCTGATTCAACATTTTGTTAAGAATTATTTTCACCACACTGAATAGGGTCTTTTTTGATCTGCAACCCACAGCTGGGCTGTGGTTCTCTCAGCACACATCGCCGAAAAAGCTTCCTCCTGCATTCATTTCTCAGTGTGAGCTGACCACATGTACTTGCTTCTTTTCTGTGTGTCACCAAGAGCCACTGTTCCAGTGCTGTCAGGCACTGACAGCGTGGGACAGCTGTGCCCAGGAGTTCAGGGAGCACTTTGATGAGAAAAATGAAATGATCACAAACCTTACTTTAAGGGTGGATATAAAATAGAGCCAAATACTCATTAGCACTAAAACGCATCACTTTAAGACATTGACATGCTTGTCTTTTTATTTTTTTTTTTAAAGAAAAATGAAGTTGGTCAAACTCCATGGAAAGTGGAGCTACCTGATTGTGAACTATTAGGTTATTTACATAGGTTTTCCTCCTAAAATGAGCTTCGGCCCATTGTTACTCCCTCATGCTGATAATTGTCTGAAACAAAATAAATATGAATGTCTAGGTTAATGAAGGCTGAAACACGATAATGCTTGGACACTAAGTTTTTCAGGAACAAAGCACATGATCGTTCCCTGCATGTCCCTGCAAAAGTACTTAATGAAAAGGGCACAGAAACCTTTTCTCAGGGGCCTGTGATAATGAAGCCACCTTTCAGCCACGGTCCTAAATGAAAGCATTAAGGTGGAGGCCCATCCTGTAGCTCAGGCCTGGGAAGACTAGGACAGCAGTGAACACAATCCAGAAGCCTCCCTTTTACTCCTCACGACATCAGCAGCAAGTCAACCTTAGACTATCAATCCATAAAGTGGTTCACTGCTAGGTGTTCACACTATGGACACTCATGAGGATTGCACAGGATAACGAATGTGGAGGAGTCTGTCAACACTGAAGCGCCAGACAAAAGTGTTAGTGAGTACAGCCAGGAAGGGCCACAGGGTCAGCTTGAATTTAAAAGGAAAACAACCCCCAAATCAACCTCCTCTCTCCTGGGGCCCTCTTCCCCAGATTTCAGAATGTGTGGATGGATTTTACCTACTCGGGGATCTCAGAAAACACTGTGAGGGATTTTAATTCCTCAGGTCTGGAATGTTCTGCGGTGCTCTATGTAGAGAGGCAGGGCCGGAGCTAGACGATGCTTGTGCTCAGTCCACCTGCATTTGGGAAGAGAAGTGCTAGTTTCTATGCTCAGCTGTAATTTGGGGCAGTCATTTCACTTCTCCTTTTTCTTAGTTTTGTTAAATGGAGATTACATCAGTTCTTTATACGGAGAAGGTATATAGGAGAATGAAATGAGTATTGCAGTTGTTTTTTTTTTAAGTATAAATACATGTACTACTACTACTAATTAGATTGGAACTTCAGCATAACTCCTGAGTATTCTAAAAAGTTTTATTATTTAGTCCTGTGTGCTCTTCCTGCCCCAGTTTTGATCCTGTTCCCCTCTCCTCCTCCATAGAATGTCTCTGGTTTATAGTTGTTAGTTGATGTTACCTTTTACTTCATTACAATGACTAGATAGGGGCCCTCCCTGGTGGCGCAGTGGGTTAAAGTGCAGCACTACGAAGCTAGCTGTAGCCACTGCAGCATGAGTTTGATCCCCAGCCAGGGAGGTGAGCCACATGTTGTGGTCAACCTGCCTCTTCTGCTCCCCACACTGTCTCTGGTGAATCCTCTCATTGCCCCTGTATTTCTGGCCTGTACCCCAGTTCTGTATGCATAAATAAGTAAATATTAAAAAAATACTATATATGAATATAGTATATCCACAGGGATTACAACTGAGATAAAAAAATGTACAAAATGAAGAATGATGTAAAAAATTTATATAAAATTACAAAATTATAGCTAACATATTCATATATTTTCATAAATTATCATATGTGTATAAAATAAATATGCACATTCTCTTAAAAATGTTTTATTACTTAAATTCAGCTCAGGCTGATTGCTTATGATTCCCGCTGCTAACTTTTTTAAGTACACTTTTTTTGGGGGGGGGATACTTTTAGATATACAAAATATTTCTAGGGCTAGTACCAAGTTGCCTTCACCCAGTTTTTATTGTTAATATCTTACAAAACTGTGGGTCATTGTAAAAATTAAGTCAGTACTGGTACACTAATATTAACAAATTGCAGACTATTCAGTTTCCTTTTCTTCGTTCTACTAATGTTCTTTTTCTGTTCCAGGACTCAGTCCAAGATACCATATTGCATTTAATAATTATATCTCCTTGTTCTCTTCTGGCCTGTGATGGTTTCTCATTTTTCCTTATCTTTTATGCATTGACAGGTACTGTATAGCCCAGACTGGTCAGTAACTGCATAGAAGAGGCAGCTGGGTGGCCTGTGTGATAGTGTCATGAATGGACTGAGGTTTTGGGGAAGAAGTGCTTTTCTTATATGAGAGGTCCATTATATCACCATGACTTATCACTGGTGATAATAACCTTAATCACTTGATTAAGGTAGAACTTGTCAGATTTCTCTATCATAAATAAACTATTGTCCCTTTCAAAATTCTAGTCTTTAAAATAAAGTCACTAAGTCTGGGCCTTCCCTGGTGGCACAACAGGTTAAAGCACAGCACTCTGAAGCTATCTGTAGCTACTTGCAACTCCCAGCCAGAGAGCTGACCCATATGGCTCAGCAGACCTCTTCTGACCCACCTGCTGCTCCCCTCTGCAGTGTATTTCAGTCCATCTGCCTGTTCTACTCCCCACTCTGTCTCTGGTGAATCTTCTCACCCCCTATACCTCTGGCCTGTACCCCACTTCTTGTATCATAAATAAATAAACCTTTAAAAAAATTCTTCAGGGTCCATTGGTTGAACTCCACAAAATTCTCTAGTTCTATCACTTGAGACATCAGCCAATGGGTCCCTCCCTATTTCTCACATGCTTGCCCTAAGTACTCCCATTTCTCTGATTTTGCTCACTTCATCGACCATGTAGAAAGGCTCACTGAACCCTCTCCCTGCCCCCATCTGAGCCACCCCTGCCACTTTGTTTTAAATTAAGTTTTCACTCTGGATCTAGAACAAGCACAACGTTCCTCTGATGTCATCACTGTCCTCTTAACGCTGAACTTACTGTTGTGGCCATGCACACTCAAAAAGCCCCTGCGTTCTGGTGTTGCTATTTGTGTTTTTAAAGTGAGTTTTGTTTCCCCAAATATAACGAGCCCTCTGAAAACAGAGACCAAGCATATTCCTGTCTGTGTTTTAGCTTCTAACAGAGGACCTGGAAGGGAGGAGAAACTCAAGAAATGTGTTGGGGATGATTGTGCTTCCTCTTCTTTTCTTTAAAAGAAGATCTTGGTGGTGAGTCATGGTCCCGACCTTCACATTCAGGTGTTCTGCAGCTATTACACTCTGTTCTCATTGCTTGCACAGACATAAAAGCACACAGGCCTTTTCATGAATATAAAGAATAGGTTAATAGACTTTGGTGAGAAGTTGGTACATAAAAATCACTTACTGCAGGGAAAATTCTTTAGGAATAATATCAGTTACACAGAAGTGAGGAAAGTGAGAAGGCAATCACTTTTTTAAAAGTTCTGGTGGTACCCCACTCTGTCTCTGGTGAATCCTCTCACCCTCTGCTTCTCTGGCCTGTACCCCAGTTCTGTACGAATAAATAAAATAAATCTTAAAAAAAAAAAAAAAGTTCTGGGGGTAGGGCCCTCCCTGGTGGCGCACAGGTTAAAGCACAGCACTAAGAAGCTAAAACCACTTTTGCATGAGTTCAATCCCTGCCTGCCCCGGAGGTGACCCACATGGCACAGCAGACCTCTTCTGACCCGCCTGCTGCTCCCTTCAGCAGTGTACTTCGTCGATCTGCCTGTTCTACTCCCCACTCTGTCTCTGGTGAATCCTCTTGCCGCCCCTGCACCTCTGGCATGTACCCCAGTTCTGTATGCACAAATAAATAAATCTTTAAAAAAAAGTTCTGGAGATAAGAGCTTGATTGCTGCTCATTGAATATATAGTGGAGAAATTATTCAATTTGTTGCTTTATATCATGAGATACTGATGAAGGTATATGTAAATGACATACTTAACATGTTTATTAAAGAGCCTAAAACAATACTTCAATCCTAAATTTTGCCTTAGTGATGTTCCAGTGAGAAGAGGCCACTGAACTGCAATGGCACATGGGGAAGAAAATTGTGACATGTTTCATGCCTTCCTTGAGATTTCACCTGAAGATTTTTCTTAAACAGTAGTTACTTCTCCTGAACAAAATTAATGCATTCCTTTTTATATGCCCTTATAAGTGTATAAATAACCAATATTTTGATTTCACAATACATATAATTTTATAATTCAATGTAATACAGCTTTAGAAAAAGTGGTCTTATGAGTGCATTCGGCTAAGTGCTTTACATTTCTTTATAAAATATATAAAAGAATATATGTAAAATATATAAAATAAAATATTACGAAAATCACTCCACTTTTTTTTTTTTTTTGCTAAAACAAGGAAAAAGCTTTTAGTTTCCTTGTCTCCTTTTCACATCCAAAAGTTCCTACATAGTGAATCACTTCCTTGTCACTTAAGCTCTGAAGTGAAACATGATCGTGGCAGGCAATGAAAACATGTATCTGAAGTCCCAGAGGCATAAAAATCCATGAGCAGTAACCGATAAAAGATGGACAAAAATGTTTTCTAAGAAAGCAAAGAACCAACAGCTGATGCTTAAAGGGTTTCTGCTGTGCACTGGGGTTCCTTACCTGGCTCCGAATCCTCATGCTGTCCACGGGAGTCAGATATCTATGTTCTAGATACCAGGCTCGCTCCTGGAACACCAGCTTGGTTCCATATAACACACAAAACTAAGGCGTGGGAGAAGGGGAAAGAAATGAACAAATAAAAGTATGTTAGAAATTGCAGAATCTAAACAGGGAAAGAGCACATTATAGTCTATAAGATCATAAAAGGTAATGCCTCCTTAACAAAAGGGGATCACATTTTAGATGTGCAGTGAATGTTTTAGTTTTTAAAACCATTCTATAGAAAATCTAAAGCATATATAAAAGTAGAAAGAATAGCAAACCAAACTCCTGTGTATCCATTTCCCAAGTCAACAAATATTAACTCATAGGCAGATTTCTTCCATCTGTAATCTCATCTAGCCTTTCATCACCCCGATCATTTTAAAAGCTAAGTCCACACATATTTTATTCAAAAACATGAATGTCGTATGCCTGCTTGCTTTCCTTCTCAATTCATGAAAGCATGTTCTAAATGTATATTCTGAACAGAGTCACCTTGATATTTTCCATTGAGCATGGTTTAAACTTTCATAAAAATAGCACTTCTCATTTACATTTTGTTTCAACATACTTTTCCTATTGCATTTCTGAAACTGACATAGACGTCCTTCATGACATCACTGGTATTGAGCAACAATAAATGAGTTTCTCTATACTGGAAGTAACTTTTAAACTATTTATTAATTTCCCTCTTAATATATAATAATTCTAAAATTACACAAAAGTGCAGAGAAAGGCACCTCTATGTCTTCATCACACAACTTCAATAATTCCCCAGTCATGGTGATCTTTTTTTTAAAAAAAAATTTTACTTATAAATACAAGAACTGAGGCACAGGCCAGAGGTGTGGGGAAGAGAGGATCCACCAGAGACAGAGTGGGGAGCAGAACAGGCAGATCTACTGAAATACACTGTTGAAGGGAGTAGAGGGCGAGATGGGAAAGGTCTGCTGTGCCCTGTGGCTCAGCTCTCCTGGTCAGGCAATGTAGAGCCGAGACTAACCCTTCATGCTACCTGGGAGGCCCTCATGGTGATTCTTGTTTTATCTCTACTCCTAACCATTCTCTCCTTCCTGTATTATTTTGAAACAAAATTCAGTCATATTCCATCCATGAGCATTTCATTGTGTATCTCTAAAAGATAATGATAATGACTCTTCAGATCATTAAAAGCACCTCAATGTCAAGTCAAGCAACAACAAAACCCTCTTACACAGAGTCAAGTGGAGATGACCCTGGCATCAGAAGACAACAGATCTTCTATGGATCATCAGACTCAGAAAGCCTACAGTTCACAAGTCACTTAGACAAAACAAGCCCTTCTTTTTCTGCGATTCTGGGACGTCCTTAAGGTAGGATTTTTATGAAGAGCCTCAACTATTTCAGTCTTCCCAAAAGGGGTCACAATATGGCCTCGCAGCTTGTCTATGAAAGATATTTAAGATTAATTATAGTTCTTTATGGACTTGCCCAAGTTCTGGGCAATAATTGCTTGGCTATTGTAAGTTTCCTTTGGCTTCTGGATATAACAACAATAAAGATGTTATTTGATTCCCCATGTTTAAAAAAAAATAAAGTGTACATTTGCTCATTTATTGTTTTCTGACATCAGTTTTGTCCTCCTTGGTATCAAGTCTCTCACACTACAAGTCCTTCCCAATTCAGAGAGAAATGCAAACGCTATAGGAGACAAATAGGGCTGCTGTGTTTTGGTATTAGCACTAACACTGGGGCTTGTGCTCAAACTCTGAATGTAGATAAAAACGGTGTTTTAAATACTTCATCAGATTTTTTTAAAGGACTTTATTTTTTAAAGTTATTTATTTATTTATACATACAGAACTAGGGTACAGGCCAGAGGTGCAGGAGTGGTGAGAGGATTTACCAGAGTCAGAGTGGGGAGCAGAACAGGCAGACTGGTGAAGTATAATGCTGAGGGGGAGCAGCAGGCAGGTCAGGAGAGGTCTGCCGCGCCATGTGGGTCACCTCTAGGGTCGGGGATTGAACTCGCACTGAAGTAGCTGTGGCCAGCTCGCAGTGCTGCATCCTAACCCACTGCACCATCAGGCAGGGCCCCCTCATCAGATTATTTTTTAAACCTCATGTTATGCTGGGATTTGACCATCCCACGCTATTAAATACTACCGTTATGTGTATCCTTGGATAAATCTTTCCCCCACCCCCACTATTCACTGTGTGCAGATAACTTCCTTAGACTGCACATCACAGTCCCCTCGACTCCGACCCTGCTTTCTTTTTTTTTTTTTTAAAGATTTATTTATTCATACAGAACTGGGGTACAGCCCAGAGATGCGGAGGGTGAGAGAACCCACCAGAGACAGACTGGGGAGCAGAACAGGCAGATGAAGTACACTGCCGAGGGGAGCAGCGGGCGGGTCAGGAGAGGCCTGCCATGCCATGTGGGTGACCTCTGGGGCAGGCGGGGATCGAACTCATGCAGAAGTGGTTTAAGCTTCTTAGTGCTGTGCTTTAACCCGCTGCGCCACCAGGGAGGGCCCATGACCCTGCTTTCTTTAACTATGCTCCAATCAACAGTATGCTTATAACAGCCACTATTCAGTAAGCAGGGTACCAGACACTGCGAAGTTTTTACATCCTCATTATTTACATCCTCACAATTAAAAGTAGCTATTGTTGGCTTATGCAGGAAGGGTTAACTCAGCAAGCCTGGGCTATTCACAGCCCAAATATTCTCAAGGTCTTCTGCCTGGCCCTTGGCCTAACTTTTGGGAGATGACCTCTGAGCTCTTGGATTATCTTGCCTGATAAAAGTGTGTCACTGTACGCCTGAGGCCTTGGCCAAGCCAGATAGTTAATGCTAACAGTTGGGCTTATGTTGAAGCCCTGTTTTTGTACGCCTCAGGCACAGAGCCATGCTGCACCACTTTTTCCTCTGAGGGCTGTGATCTGGGCAGCTGAGACCAGTCATGTGCTGTTGCTGTGCTGTGTGACTCCCAATGACAACTTTGGAAACCGAGGGCTGGCAGCTCAGTTGGCAACACTTGCCGATATCGTCACCCATTGCTGGAGCACTGCTGGCAGAGCAAGTGCTGTCTGCATGACTCCGCTGAGGGGAAAACTTGCTGGGAGGTCGCGCTGGTTTCACTTGGCCTCCACCCACTGCACCTTTTCCCTTGACTGATTTTTATCTTATTCGTTTGCTGTTAAAAAATTTGAATTTAACATCTTTTCTGGGTCATGTGAGACTTCCACACTCAAGCTGGAGTGTGGACTTGAGAACCCGTAGCTTAGGCACCATTTTTTACACATGAAGAGACAGAGGCTCAAGACAGTTAAATTACAGAGTCATGGTTGGAAGTAAGTCTTCCAGTGTTCAAAGGTAGTTTTCTGTCTAGTGCATCACAGTACCTCCACTTTCCAGAATTTAAAAAACAAACAGACCATTAATTTATGTATGTATATGATTTTTAAAAGATTGTGGTAACATTAGGGTCCTCATCAGTTATCACCACCATAGAGCACCCAGAACTGAATAAGACACAATCCACTACCATCGTCCACTGTTTTTCCTTCCCTCTTTGTTTTTCTCTCTCCCACATATAGATGACCTTTTCTAAAAACAGAGGGGGAGTTCTAGTCTGGGTAAGATGGAGTAGATGATGACACTCCAGTCACCTCTTCCACTGAACACAGCCATAACTTCTGGGCAGAGTGAATCAAGAGAACTTTTAAGAAATCTGAAAAACAGCAGTAGGCAGACTGGAAGAAAATACCAGAACTCAAAGTCTCATTACTTTGGTGACATGTTTCATTTTTACCCCTAGTCCTCAAGCTGCTGATCCCAGTGTTTGCCTCCATAGGCAAATGCAGCAGAGCAGAATAACATTACTCCAGACTTCTGGCTGGAAGATGGGAAAAGGGAGCCTGAGGGAAACCTAAAAGTACCAAGGAGGTGGTAGAAAGGAAGGGTTTGAGGAAGTAACACCATTAAGTTATCTATGAACTTCTGGGTTCAGTCCCAGCTATGCACCATGGATCTAAGTTTTATTACATACAAAATATGTTGAGAACTGAAACTAGCAGGTAGGTGAGAATGCAGAGACCAGACACACCACTGAGTGGTGCACATGTGGGACAAAGAATAGCACTGAAAAGACTGTCATGACTACACCGACACTGAGACACAGTCAGCAGAAGGTGAGTTGGAACTTGCAGCCTATATAACCAGATACATGCTCTGCTAAGACAAAATTACTCACATTTCTAGTGAGATTTAAATAAAGCCCACAATCTCATAACATACTATTCAAAATGTCCAAGAGTAATAAAATTAAGCAAAGTGTAACTTATCGTCAGATGCCAACAGCAAAATGACACAGATATTGACATTATCCAGCAAAAAAGGTTAAAATTGCTATTAGAAAAATTCTCAAAGTGAGCACAAAGCCTCTTGAAACAAATGCTAATGTAGTTTCAGCAAATAAATAGAAAATATAAAAGAAAGTCAAGTAGAAATTTTAGAACTAAAAAATTAACAGCAGAGTAGTCTAGAGAAACGAGAATTAGTAAACTAGAAGATAAAATAATCTATTTGGACAACAGAAAGAAAATACAATAATAAAAGCTCTAACCTTCACATCACTGGACAGGAGAAAAGAAAGGAAATGGGGACAATAAATAGCAGGAAAGCTCACATTTCACACGCACACACACACATCTACAAATGTGCTGGTTTTAGAAGCTTGGTGAACTCCAATAAACCCAAAATATTCATTCTCACACAGATCATCTTGAAATTAAAGAAAGAAAAAAATCTTGAAAAGAGAGAAAAATGATGCATCACGTGTAGAAACAATGATAAGTAGGACTGGGTTTCTTATCAGAGCTGTGAATGCCCATGTGGGAAGCTATATGAACATTCTTCAGACCACTAAAAAGGTAGCTACCATATGTCCCAGCAATTCCACTCTTAAGGATCTACCCAAAGGACACAAAGACATTAATTAAAAAGGACATCTACACCCCTATGTTTACTGCAGCACTATTTATAATAGGTAAGACTTGGAACCAACCCAAAT